ATAGAAACCAGCTGCTAGTGTAGAAACCAGCTGCTAGTGTAGAAACCAGTTACTAGTGTAGAAACCAGCTGCTAGTATAGAAACCAGCTGCTAGCATAGAAACCAGCTGCTAGTGTAGAAACCAGCTGCTAGTATAGAAACCAGTTACTAGTGTAAAAACCAGCTGCTAGTATAGAAACCAGCTGCTAGTATAGAAACCAGTTGCTAGTATAGAAACCAGCTGCTAGTATAGAAACCAGCTGCTAGTATAGAAACCAGTTGCTAGTATAGAAACCAGCAGCTAGTGTAGAAACCAGCAGCTAGTGTAGAAACCAGCTGCTAGTGTAGAAACCAGCTGCTAGTGTAGAAACCAGCAGCTAGTGTAGAAACCAGCTGCTAGTGTAGAAACCAGCAGCTAGTGTAGAAACCAGCTGCTAGTGTAGAAACCAGCTGCTAGTATAGAAACCAGCTGCTAGTATAGAAACCAGCTGCTAGTATAGAAACCAGCTGCTAGTATAGAAACCAGCTGCTAGTATAGAAACCAGCAGCTAGTGTACTTCCTTGCCAAGTAATACAAATAATTTGACTAAGAAGTTCCACAAAAGAAATAGAAAGATGCACAGCTGCAAGTAAATCTTTTAGCCACAGTCTTTATCAATTAATAACACAACAACATGACCTCCCCCTCCCCTCCACCCCCCAACAAAAACAAAAATTAAACTTTTGCTGCAATTAGATGAAAGAGTGGTGAATACTGATTGTTGCTGGGTGTAGAATGCACAAACTATGGAGGGGTGACTTTCCAAGAACAGACAGGTGATGTGATTACCAGAACTAAATTGTATGGCAGAGACAGAAATGTAGCAGCACCTGTAGTGCAAGTTTAATGTTGTTTTGTTCAATGATAAAGACTGTGGTTGTAATTTACACTTGCATCTGAGTGTGTCATTCCTGTCTTTTGCTGAGCATCAAAATCATTTTTGGTCATGTGTTCATTGTATTTCTTAGTTGGTAAGAGCTCAGCTATAGTCACCATTATGTTAGAGACAGTTTTGCTTACCAACATACGAGTAGAAACCCAATAGTGGTTGGAAGCTATTTATCCATGCAGTATGGATTAGATGTAGACTTAGTCTCATGGAAACCCAATAGTGGTTGGAAGCTATTTATCCATGCAGTATGGATTAGATGTAGACTTAGTCTCATGGAAACCCAATAGTGGTTGGAAGCTATTTATCCATGCAGTATGGATTAGATGCAGACTTAGTCTCATGAGACTGGTACTAGTTCCTGTCCCAAATCAGTGTCACTGACTTTCAGTGAACATTTAGACATCATCCCTTGTTTCCGATAACAATGCAATGTGTTACAATAATATTCCATTCAAAATGTTTTTACTTTATGGTTTCAAAGATATGAGATCAATATAGCGACATATTCTGTCAGCCTAGAAATACCCGGGATTAGGGTGTTTCGATATAGCCACATATACTGTCAGCCTAGAAATACTAGGGATGAGGGTGTTTCAATATAGCGACATATTCTGTCAGCCTAGAAATGCCTGGGATGAGGGTGTTTCGATAAGACTGCATTTTCCTGCAAACTCGTTTTGGCACAAAACTTTGCCATCTTTAAAATTATTTTCATAAAATAAGATTTTATTTAAAAGGCATAAGAAAATAAAAATAATGAAATGTATCTTATAATACACTGGGTATCAGAGAATGGTCGGCTCTGTGGCAAAGTTGATGCGAACGCTTCACTTCGTAATGCCGGGATGCCAGGTTCGATCCCAGCTGCGGGCAATGCGCCTTGCGCTGGTTTCGACAGTGGTATCAAGAAAGCCGACCGTCCAGAAAGCAATGGCAAACTACTGGATGTAAATTGCCTAGAGAAACCACACAACAGCCAGGGACTGTTAGGGTTGGTTCTGCAACGTCCTGTAAAGGATACGCAACTAACTAAAAAACTATCAGAGAATTAATCATCTACCCTTACACAATTCCTCTCATAGCAGTAAAGTGCATGCCACGTAATCACTGCCCTGGTCACAATGTCAACATTTTCAAATGATAAATATTGTTAGTAACGTTCTTTCCATAGCAAGGAAATCACAAATATTGTTAGTAATGTTCTTTCCATAGCAAGGAAATGACAAATATTGTTAGTAACGTTCTTTCCATAGCAAGGAAATGACAAATATTGTTAGTAATGTTCTTTCCATAGCAAGGAAATGACAAATATTGTTAGTAACGTTCTTTCCATAGCAAGGAAATGACAAATATTGTTAGTAACATTCTTTCCATAGCAAGGAAATGACAAATATTGTTAGTAATGTTCTTTCCATAGCAAGGAAATGACAAATATTGTTAGTAATGTTCTTTCCATAGCAAGGAAATGACAAATATTGTTAGTAATGTTCTTTCCATAGCAAGGAAATGAGTTGAAAATGTTAAACGGGTGCAATGATTTGAATAACTGAGTTGAGAATTAAGAATGAATGTCCCAAAAGTCGGGTGCAATGATATTAATAAATGAGTTGAGAATTAAAAACGAATGTCCTAAACGTCGGATGCAATGATATGAATAACTGAGTAGAGAATTAAGAATGAATGTCCCAAAAGGCGGGTGCAATGATATGAATAACTGAGTTGAGAATTAAAGACGAATGTCCCAAAAGTCGGGTGCAATGATATGAATAACTGAGCTGAGAATTAAAAACGAATGTCCCAAAAGTCGGGTGCAATGATTGAATAACTGAGTCAAGGATTAAAAACGAATGTCCCAAAATTTGGGCCATTCTATAAATGCTCCACAGCCAGCAGCAAAGGTAGAGCTTTGATACAACTGGTCCCAGCTGTGTCTGATTAGCATATTATTATTAGCATATAAGAAGACATCTGATCCCAGATTTCGTAAGTTAAAAATGTATGGGCGGGAAGGGGTGTCCCTTATACATGGAATGTTGCAATTAAATTGTTAAACATATACATGCCGCTGTCCCTATTCTTTCCCACCAGAGTTCCCACATTGTTGACTTCATGGTTAAACAAATAGGGTGACAGCACACAGCACTGACAGACACCTTGCTTGATGTCAAACCAGTTTGATGTCTCGCTATCTGTTCTAATCGCTGCTTATTGGTCTAGATAGAGCATTGTTATGAGGTGCACTACATGTGATGGAAAGCCCATATTCCTCATGACTGCTCTAAGTTTCTGTTGTTGTACACAGTCAAATGGCTTTGAATAATCCACAAAACATGAAAATAGGTTTACATTAAATTCTCTGAACTTCTCTATTATTAAATGCATGTTGAGGATGTGATCTCTTGTTCCTCTTCCTTGTCTAAATCCAGCTTGAAACAAGTTTATCTCTTCTTCAATTTTCTTTTAAAGTCTTCCCATTATGATTTTAGTCAAATTGTACTCGCATGTCTGATCAGGGCAAAAGTTCTATTGTTGGTGCATAATTTCAGGTTGCCTTTTTTTTTTTTGGGTATTGCAATGAAGATAGTTCTCTTCCAATCATTTGGCCATATACCTTATTTCCATACCTTTTTACATAATGTGTGAAAGATGTGTATGCTTTCTTCCCCTCCCGCTTTAATTAGTTCTGCTGGTGTCTCATCACATCCTGGTGATTTGCCATTCTTCAGCTTCTTTACCGCCCGTGTAATTTCATCTCATGATGGTTCAGGTTCTGTCTCTGCTGTCATTGGTTCATGTCTATCATTCATATCGTCACAGTCATTCATATCCTCAGTCATTCATATCTTCACAGTCATTCATATCCTCACAGTCATTCATATCCTCACAGTCATTCATATCCTCACAGTCATCCATATCCCCACAGTCATTCATATTCTCACAGTCATTCATATCCTCACAGTCATTCATATCCCCACAGTCATTCATATCCTCACAGTCATTCATATCCTCACAGTCATTCATATCCTCACAGTCATCCATATCCCCACAGTCATTCATATCCTCACAGTCATTCATATCCTCACAGTCATTCATATCCACACAGTCATTCATTTCCTCACAGTCATTCATTTCCTCACAGTCATTCATATCCTCACAGTAAATCATATGCTCACAGCCATTCATATTCTCACAGCAATTCATATCCTCACAGTCATTCATATCCTCACAGTCATTCATATCCTCACAGTCATTCATATCCTCACAGTCATTCATATCCTCACAGTCATTCATATCCTCACATTCATTCATATCCACACAGTCATTCATATCCTCACAGTCATTCATATCCTCACAGCCATTCATATCCTCACATTCACTCATATCCTCACAGTCATTCATATCCTCACAGTCATTCATATCCTCACAGTCATTCATATCATACATCCCACTGCAGTTTTCCTACTATCTTTCTAGACTTTGTCTAGATTCTGCAAAGGTATTTCCCAACTTGTCACAAATAACATTTAATCCAGGTTGAACTTTTCTTGTCAATAACTTTTTTTCTTTGAATATTTAGGAATCTCTTCCATTCTTATGATATTCCTCTATTTTAATAGAACAATCATATATCTATTGGTTTTTGTGGGGCCGATGTACACATGTAAAAAAAAATGGTATAAATTTGTCATGCATTTCCTCTCAGCACTCAGTGTCTACCAGATGTTTGCTATAGAAACTGTCTACCAGATGTTTGTTATAGAAACAGTGTCTACCAGATGTTTGTTATAGAAACAGTGTCCAAAAGTTGGAAAATGACAGGATGAGAAAGACAAGACACAGACAGGAAGAAAGAATAAAAAAACTGGCAAAAGAAAGGACAATCATATACGTTTATTAGCATCCATTTTGAAAATGTGTGTGTCTCATCTTAATCTGGTAAATATGGCAGCATGCAACAATCACTAGGCATGTTCACAAAACAACACTCACTAACAAGAGGCAAGCCACAGGGAAAAGGTCACCATGACAAGGTCAAGGTCAGACAGGGAGGGAAGAGAAAGAAAGTGTATCACTTGCCCGTATTTTTACCTTTTCCCTTCTGTGACCACAATGGGGGGTCAAGCTGACCAGTGGGCTGCAAACCATTCTCCAGGCAAGACAGAAAAGACAGCAGGTGGCCTCCCTTGGGGAAGTGGATAGGAGGGCGCTGCACTCCATCCTGGCCAACAAGAACCACTGTGCCTTGGCAGTCGGCTGTCAGAAAATGATAAGTGCAGACTGCTTATTTGGCAACAAGCATTAGGAAAATATAGTACAGACAGGATCCTGCAAGTCCTTTTCAGGACACTGTAACCCAAACCTAGCATTCATTGGCTGTTCTGTGGTTTATTAGTCATGATTATTTTTAGCAGTTTGCCACTGCTCTCTGAACAGCATGACACTCATATCACTGTCACAATCAACAATGTTTGCTACCACACAGTCTGCAGCTGACATATAATCCCAGTATGTTGGAAATGTGAGACTGATTCACAACCCTAAGCCCCAGATGCCTACATTACACACAGATTTGTGTATAACAAGTCACTTTCACTGAATATCAGACAAGAGAGACAGTACTGTCATATTATGAAGAATCCATCAGGAGGCGGGGCAATGAATCGTTCCTCATCAACCACTGCAGGTGTCGAGGGAGATGGAAGGTTGTGCTTCTTGCTCTGCTGTCCACCTCTACCAGAGACATATCCTGCTGTTTCAGACTTTCTACAATGTCCTTGGTCCACCTTGTGCTCTACGTCATTCTTCTCTTTTGGTGTGTGCCCTCTGGGGTATAATATTGCAAGGCTTTCTCTCCAAGTGTGCAAACCATGTGATTTGTTGTTTATGTATGTGATTAGGAATTAGTTCTGTGCCAAATTTTTCTCTTATAATCTCATTTCCAATTTTATCTTTTTTGGTAACTCCTTAGCAATTCTCAGACATCTCATTTCCATGGTGACTAATTTTCTAATGTTTTATTGTGATTGACCATGTCTGGCAATAGAAGCACAGAGTGGGAATGAATATACTTTGTATGAGATGTTTCTTTGTGCTGATTGGGGCTGTCTTATACTTTGTATGAGATGTTTCTCTGTGCTGATTGAGGCTGTCTTATACTTTGTTTGAGATGTTTCTTTGTGCTGATCAGGGCTGTCTTATACTTTGTGTGAGATGTTTCTTTGTGCTGATTGGGGCTGTCTTATACTTTGTATGAGATGTTTCTTTGTGCTGATTGGGGCTGTCTTATACTTTGTGTGAGATGTTTCTTTGTGCTGATTGGGGCTGTCTTATACTTTGTGTGAGATGTTTCTGTGTGCTCATTGGGGCTGTCTTATACTTTGTGTGAGATGTTTCTTTGTGCTGATTGGGGCTGTCTTATACTTTGTGTGAGATGTTTCTGTGTGCTCATTGGGGCTGTCTTATACTTTGTGTGAGATGTTTCTTTGTGCTGATTGGGGCTGTCTTATACTTTGTGTGAGATGTTTCTGTGTGCTCATTGGGGCTGTCTTATACTTTGTATGAGATGTTTCTTTGTGCTGATTGGGGCTGTCTTATACTTTGTATGAGATGTTTCTGTGTGCTAATTGGGGCTGTCTTATACTTTGTGTGAGATGTTTCTTTGTGCTGATTGGGGCTGTCTTATACTTTGTGTGAGATGTTTCTGTGTGCTCATTGGGGCTGTCTTATACTTTGTGTGAGATGTTTCTTTGTGCTGATTGAGGCTGTCTTATACTTTGTGTGAGATGTTTCTTTGTGCTGATTGGGGCTGTCTTATACTTTGAATGAAATGTTTCTTTGTGCTGATTGGGGCTGTCTTATACTTTGTATGAGATGTTTCTGTGTGCTGATTGGGGCTGTCTTATACTTTGTGTGAGATGTTTCTTTGTGCTGATTGGGGCTGTCTTATACTTTGTGTGAGATGTTTCTGTGTGCTCATTGGGGCTGTCTTATACTTTGTGTGAGATGTTTCTTTGTGCTGATTGAGGCTGTCTTATACTTTGTGTGAGATGTTTCTTTGTGCTGATTGGGGCTGTCTTATACTTTGAATGAAATGTTTCTTTGTGCTGATTGGGGCTGTCTTAGACTGTAAGAGGGGGTCTAGCTGTCCCAATACTTGGTTTGCTTTACTCTCATCTGATCTCAGTTTCTGTATCCATGTTCTTATCTTTGGTGAATGTTGTTCCCAGATATTTAAACTCAGATGCCAGTTAAATGCCTTCGCACTCTACTGTGTAGAGTTTAGAGTTTATATTAACTTTATGCTTCTTTCTTCCTATTGATATTACTTCTGTCTTTTCAGTGTTGATTCTCATATTATTAGTTTAACATTTTTTACTCATAAATGTCAGAGACTGTTGCAATTTCATGGCAATGAATCCACTAATATAGGAGAACGGCTGACTGACTTTCTACCCCACCAGGACATCACACAAGCGATAAACACCCGATGACACGAAGTGCCACCATGCGGATGAGGATCACCGTGGAGAGGTCCCAGAAACCGCGTTCAGACAATTGGCCATATTGATGGCCTGCCTATATTGCGGCCCCTGGCAATAGCCAGAGTGGGGCTTCAAATAACAAAAAATTACGTCCTAAGAAGGACGTAGAGAATAATTAAAATATAGGAGAAGAAATGAGGGAGAAAACGATGGAGGCAGCAGAGATGTGGTTTCTGAGATCAATCTTGTGAATTTGTTAAACAACCAGAATCAATATCCACAAGTAACTTTAAAAAAAACTGACTGAATGGTGTGGTAGCCAGCCATAGTTTACCATCTTACACGATCCCCAGAATCAAAGGTCAGATCAATGCTCCCGTCCCCATTCCATCCGTGTAGTTTTACCATTCATCTATTTATTTCTTTTTCCTCCCTTTGATATTTTTCCAACAATTTTTCCACTAAGCTTTCCAGTTCATGGGAATCTTGAAAAAAGTATTTTGCCACTGCTTTCCTTTTTGGCAGCTACCATACTGGTTGGATGAGAGTAGTTACTGTCACTTTAGTGGGATCCTCTATCACAATCATAGAATCTATCACAATCATAAAATCTATCACAATAATAGAATCTATCACAATCATAGAATCTATCACAATCATAGAATCTATTGCCATCATAGAATCTATCACCATCGTAGAATCTATCACCATCATAGAAACACAGAAACTAAATGACAGGAGAATGACACAGAAACTAAATGACATTAGAATGACACAAAAACTAAATGACAGTTTTACTTCCCCTTAATACAACTCCAGCAATTAAATTACAAGATTGATTTTGTTATGGCCAAAACAAAAGCAAAAAAGCATCCATAAGGCAAAGTATGTTATCCAGGCAGGCAATATCCATCCATTCATCCACCCACCCACTCACCCACCTAATCTAATTTAATCTACCTACCTCCCTCCCTCCGTCCGTCTGTTCATCCATCCATCTGTCTGTTTGTTTGTCTGTCCTCTTCTTCTCCCCTTCCTCCAGTTAGTTCACTGAAGTGTTCTTTTTAATCTGTTGTAAAAACTGATCCTCTTTTCCTTAAGATTGTTCTCGATGCTGTTGTTCCATTTGTGTGTGGTCTTCCACTTGCTCTGGTTCATTTTTTTCTTCTACATGGCTTTCTGTGGCAGCTGGTACAAGGACATTATCGTCGGATGGTCAAATGATCTTATCTGTTGCTCTGTAATGAATTGTATTATTTTTTTTCTTTCCTAGTCTTTTATTTGTTTATTTTTAATTTCACCCCTTCAAGTTAGATGATGTGTATATCAGTAAACCAAACATTACAGATTACAATGAAACCTACTTTGTTGGTGGCAATGAATGTAGACAATCTCATCAACATAGATAGTCATGGCAAATTCCCAGTACTGGCTGTGGAAGACAGAAAATAGATTTTAGTTATAAATATAAAGGTAAAGGTAAAGTCAGGACATGTGAACCAGTGTCACTGCACACGGTTATAAACCGTAAGTGCTCTGCCACCAGTTATAAATATATTTGCAGTAAAACATGAACATAATCTTTCAAATGACTACACTGTACATGGAGACAAACTGCTGCAAAATAATAAATATCAGTATTTTAACATTTAGTTTTGGTAATTGTATGTTAAAGTTATCAAGCTTATAAAGCATATCCTGATCTGAAAGTTAAAGTGTTTTGGCCATGCTGAATGTCAAGGTTCCTAGGAGACAATGGTGATGTAGGGTAGTTTTCAGAAAATGAGGCAAAGGCAGACCTCCAGAAAGGTGGATACAAAACATTAAAGATTCATTAGCTGTGAAAGCACATAGGGTTGGAGAACTGTCTGGAGAAAGAGAGATTTTCAGGCATGCCCCAATTACAAAGCAGAGGCAGTGGTGCTGGAGGAAGCCGTATCCATACTACTGATTGATTGCAGCTCTGAATCAACAGAGGTAATACTGAACTGCTGGCTCAGTGTTGCAAGCAAAACAATATGATCAGCAACCACTATTCAACTGCTGGCACAGTGTTGCAAGCAAAACAATATGATCAGCAACCACTACTGAACTGCTGGCTCAGTGTTGCAAGCAAAACAATATGATCAGCAACCACTACTGAACTGCTGGCTCAGTGTTGCAAGCAAAACAATATGATAAGCAACCACTACTGAACTGCTGGCTCAGTGTTGCAAGCAAAACAATATGATCAGCAACCACTACTGAACTGCTGGCTCAGTGTTGCAAGCAAAACAATATGATAAGCAACCACTACTGAACTGCTGGCTCAGTGTTGCAAGCAAAACAATATGATAAGCAACCACTACTGAACTGCTGGCTCAGTGTTGCAAGCAAAACAATATGATCAGCAACCACTATTCAACAAGCTTAGAACTATGCTAAATCAAATGAGCCAGCTAACCAAACAGTCTGTGCTTCAGTGGAACCCAGGACAGTGCAACATTAAGGAAAATGAAAGAGCAGATGACTTAGTAGAAACTGGAAGTCACAGAGAATAGCCAGGTACATGATGCACTTACAAGGGAAATAAAACAGATCCAGGCAGCCATTAGAACCACTGGAACACTTCCCATCCATGATGCAATCCTGAAGACTCAACCAACCTCCTCATATCAGACAAAAAAATAAAGAGAGAGAGAGATCTAGCCAAAATAATAGTTCATAAATATATTAGACTGTGCAGTCACAAAACTGACAATCTGTGTGGCTACTCTATGAAGTATTCCTACTCACAACAAATACAATCTGTGTGGCTACTCTATGAAGTATTCCTACTCACAACAAATACAATCTGTGTGGCTACTGTATGAAGTATTCCTACTCACAACAAATACAATCTGTGTGGCTACTCTATGAGGTATTCCTACTCACAACAAATACAATCTGTGTGGCTACTGTATGAAGTATTCCTACTCACAACAAATACAATCTGTGTGGCTACTCTATGAAGTATTCCTACTCCAACAAATACAATCTGTGTGGCTACTGTATGAAGTATTCCTACTCACAACAAATACAATCTGTGTGGCTACTCTATGAAGTATTCCTACTCACAACAAATACAATCTGTGTGGCTACTGTATGAAGTATTCCTACTCACAACAAATACAATCTGTGTGGCTACTGTATGAAGTATTCCTACTCACAACAAATACAATCTGTGTGGCTACTCTATGAAGTATTCCTACTCACAACAATCTGTGTGGCTACTGTATGAAGTATTCCTACTCACAACAAACACAATCTGTGTGGCTACTGTATGAAGTATTCCTACTCACAAACAAATACAATCTGTGTGGCTACTGTATGAAGTATTCCTACTCAAAACAAATACAATCTGTGTGGCTACTGTATGAAGTATTCCTACTCACAACAAATACAATCTGTGTGGCTACTGTATGAAGTATTCCTACTCACAAACAAATACAATCTGTGTGGCTACTGTATGAAATATTCCTACTCACAACAAATACAATCTGTGTGGCTACTGTATGAAGTATTCTTACTCACAACAAATACAATCTGTGTGGCTACTCTATGAAGTATTCCTACTCACAACAAATACAATCTGTGTGGCTACTGTATGAAGTATTCCTACTCACAACAAATACAATCTAGGTGGCTACTGTATGAAATATTCCTACTCACAACAAATACAATCTGTGTGGCTACTGTATGAAGTATTCCTACTCACAACAAATACAATCTGTGTGGCTACTCTATGAAGTATTCCTACTCACAACAAATACAATCTGTGTGGCTACTCTATGAAGTATTCCTACTCACAACAAATACAATCTGTGTGGCTACTCTATGAAGTATTCCTACTCACAACAAATACAATCTGTGTGGCTACTCTATGAAGTATTCCTACTCACAACAAATACAATCTGTGTGGCTACTGTATGAAGTATTCCTACTCACAACAAATACAATCTGTGTGGCTACTGTATGAAGTATTCCTACTCACAACAAATACAATCTGTGTGGCTACTGTATGAAGTATTCCTACTCACAACAAATACAATCTGTGTGGCTACTGTATGAAATATTCCTACTCACAACAAATACAATCTGTGTGGCTACTGTATGAAGTATTCCTACTCACAACAAATACAATCTGTGTGGCTACTGTATGAAATATTCCTACTCACAACAAATACAATCTGTGTGGCTACTGTATGAAGTATTCCTACTCACAACAAATACAATCTGTGTGGCTACTGTATAAAATATTCCTACTCACAACAAATACAATTAATCGTAAGCCATTTCCTGAAATGAAAACTAAAGTTACATTCATTCTTAGTACATAAATATGAAATCCACAGTTTCACATGGAAATTACAGGTGGACAAATGATTTAAACAAACAAAACAGGTAGCTATGAAGAATACCCATACCAGTGGCGCAAAGCACCTGATGATGATTAAGCTGATGGTGATTTTTTTTTTTTAAAGGCAGAACCCAAATAAGGCTAGTCGGTTATTGCCAAAATTACACAATAAAATCAACAACTAAACACAACAACAATAAATACAAAAGATAGGATAATAATAATCTCGATAAACGGGTATTAAAATACTCAAGGAGTGTCTGCTTAGTAAAATAAAACATTGTCTTCATTTAAAAGCTATATAACATGGTTTGTGGTGTTTCTGGACCAAGAGGTGAAGAAAAGACGCTGGCGTTGGATAGGACACACCACTGCACTTCTACTGATTGTTCCTACGAGAAGCTAGTTATAATGTCTCCTATCCTAACCTAGAAGACTGCACTGACGTCCTTCACAAGGCTTCACTCCCAATTAATCCACGCCTGTTAATGTCAGTGATCTGTTACTTTCTACAGGTATAGTCCGTACAGCATGCTTAGTCCATGCAATATCACACAAGCAATGATGCAATACTTGCCAGCTGGTCCACTCATTCATTACCTTTTACACTGACATATCGAGCTGTGTAGATCCAGGTGAGAGAAGTCAAGTGTGACTTCCGAGTACTGTCTACCCATTCGTTACCTTTCACACTGACATACTCAACTGTGTAGATCCAGATGAGGGAAGTCAAGTGTGACTTCCGAGTACTGTCCACTCATTCGTTACCTTTCACACTGACATACTCAACTGTGTAGATCCAGATGAGGGAAGTCAAGTATGACTTCCGAGTACTGTCCACTCATTCATTACCTTTTACACTGACATATCGAGCTGAGTAGATCCAGATGAGGGAAGTCAAGTGTGACTTCCAAGTACTGTCTACCCATACGTTACCTTTGACACTGACATGCTCAACTGTGTAGATCCAGGTGAGGGAAGTCAAGTGTGACTTCCGAGTACTGTCTACCCATTCGTTACCTTTCACACTGACATGCTCAACTGTGTAGATCCAGGTGAGGGAAGTCAAGTGTGACTTCCGAGTACTGTCTACCCATTCGTTACCTTTCACACTGACATGCTCAACTGTGTAGATCCAGGTGAGGGAAGTCAAGTGTGACTTCCGAGTACTGTCTACCCATTCGTTACCTTTCACACTGACATGCTCAACTGTGTAGATCCAGGTGAGGGAAGTCAAGTGTGACTTCCGAGTACTGTCTACCCATTCGTTACCTTTCACACTGACATGCTTAACTGTGTAGATCCAGGTGAGGGAAGTCAAGTGTGACTTCTGAGTACTGTCTACCCATTCGTTACCTTTCACACTGACATGCTCAACTGTGTAGATCCAGGTGAGGGAAGTCAAGTGTGACTTCCGAGTACTGTCTACCCATTCAGAGTAGGCTGCTTTTAATATTGTTTTAAGCATGTTGATGATCACCAAATGCATGGCTGCCTGTGCTGCTGCCTTCAGAATACCCTGGAAGCAGCTGCTTTCTCCATGGTCATGCTTGATGTACTTGCCTGCCATGTGCCACTGTTATCTCCATGGTCATGCTTGATGTACTTGCCTGCCATGTGCCACTGTTATCTCCATGGTCATGCTTGATGTACTTGCCTGCCATGTGCCACTGTTATCTCCATGGTCATGCTTGATGTACTTGCCTGCCATGTGCCACTGTTATCTCCATGGTTATGCTTGATGTACTTGCCTGCCATGTGCCACTGTTATCTCCATGGTCATGCTTGATGTACTTGCCTGCCATGTGCCACTGTTATCTCCATGGTCATGCTTGATGTACTTGCCTGCCATGTGCCACTGTTATCTCCATGGTCATGCTTGATGTACTTGCCTGCCATGTGCCACTGTTATCTCCATGGTCATGCTTGATGTACTTGCCTGCCATGTGCCACTGTTACCTCCATGGTCATGCTTGATGTACTTGCCTGCCATGTGCCACTGTTATCTCCATGGTTATGCTTGATGTACTTGCCTGCCATGTGCCACTGTTATC